AGTGGCTGCAAAACAAAAAGGTGAGTAATCCGAGCGTCGATATATCGAGTAACATATTGGGCTAGCTAGCTATATCTAGTAATGTATCGTATTAGCTAGCTATATCGCCCGATAGTAAATAACCCAATTCGAATTGCTAGCTAGATATATCGGGTAGTATATTGAGTTAGCTAGCTAGATCGCCCGATAGTCGATATTTTTTTTCTCCTTGGGTAACGAATAAGCGTTTTGACGAACCATACTATTTTTCATATCTGTTCCATATCCGTACAATTGAATGAAATTTGTGGCATACTCTTAATAAATAGTTCAACATCAGAAGAAAACGTCGGTACAAGACATAAATCAGACATAGTACTCTCCTTTTGTATTCTTCGAATCTTGTGTTTCGACTCATACAGCCAAATGGAAGCAGTACTACATGACTGGAGTGTATCTCGGAAAAAAGACTTCGACAAATTCGTACATACGGAGAAACGGGTATCGGAAAGGTATTTGGGAAGTTTAAAGATAGCTGAGAATTCAGAAAGCTTAAATAAATATAAAGAGTCCAGAAGCAACAAATAAAAGATATTATCAATTAAAAAAAGTTACTAATGTGAAATCCAAAACAGCAAGTGTACCCGTTAAATGTGACAGAGATTATCTCCCAAAACAACTTAGCGTGGTGAAGCAGAGAAAATATTCTCTTAGATTTTCCTGTGTAAATCCTTCTTTAACACGAATACTCTGACCTCGTAAGATAAATACACCACCCTTCGAATATACCATACTTTTCAATCGAACACACATTCATTTTTAGGATGAATCGTGGAGTGGGAATGGAAGGTTAACAAATCGGCCAAAGCTTAGAAATGTTGAGTATAAAACTTCAACTCCTTCTCCTTTGGAGATATTGAAGGAGTATCACAAAAAATTTATTTTTGATCTTTTTCTTGATTAATTCTGTTAAATCTTTTTTTACTTGTTGATACACTGTTTCATCAATCAACTTCTCTTCAAAATTTTGATAATATATTCATTCTTATCCATGATAACAATCTTACCACCTTTGTCAGCTTGAACAATGACAATGTCTTCAACTGATTTTATTTCATTTAACAATTTCATTTCTTTATATGAATCTAACTTCTTTGATTTCGTCCATTGCTGAATAAATGTGGTCATTTCTGATATTGCTGCTGTCTTAAGGGCTAAAGATGTCGAATACAATGCTTTTTCACACTTTACAATATTAGTCGCTGCATGAACTGCTTTGGGTGTTGGAACAAATTTTAAGCCTTTCGATAAGACTTGTAAATGTTGTTGGCTCAGTTGTACTTTAGACATGTTAATGATATTTGTTGTACCAGACTTCCTTTGTGGATTAACCTTCTTTGTTGTTCTTTTTGTCGTGGTTTATTTGATTTAATTTATTAAATCAAGATTCATACCCTGCTTAGTTTCAGCCGCCACTGATTATTTATCTTAATTTCCATACAAATGTTCGGTTACTAATTAAGCCCTGTTAACTACAGTGACCGCCTATCAAGAGGCTCATCTGAAAGGGAATACCATTCTCGCTCAGATACAGTTCAGTTTACGGAATATGGAATAGCGAAACCCTAATTTTTTTGTAAAACATCACGTGACTAGAACCTCTTTCTATATGAGCCTCTAATAACAGCATGCTTCCTTTCACATTATAAAGTGGCCTGAGTCGTCTACTGAACTTTTAGCAACTTTTTTATACTCAAATATTTATTTTTTGTTTTATATGTGTCTGCTTATGTCGGCAAAAAAGCTCCATTTTTCTTTCGTTTTGTGACTTACATTACTTTTTTTCGAAAAAAACCTGTTTTGAAACCTGTCTTGATATTTTTTCTAGTTGAGAAAAAGGTAATTATATGTATAGGTTATGGGCAATTATAGAAAATTATTCTTATATTATTAATAATGTATATTTATATAATAGCTACATACTATGCTGAATCTTACTTGTTCTGTCCTTTCTACCTTACGAAAAGTATAGTACTTACTTAACTCGTGCACACTATAGAAACATATAAATGAAACGAGTTTCTCTTCAATGAAAGATTCAGCCAGTTAAAATATGATATTTTTTGTTGTCTTGACTCATTCACTCATCACATATTGATTTAATATACAATTAAAATAAAGTCAAAGGTAATGCGAAAACAAATTTAAATAAGTAAAATAAATCCTATACACTTTTTAGAAAGCTGTTTATGAGAGTGTATTTTTCTGATAAGGCAAACTCTTTTTAATAAACAAGCAACGATGAAAGTGTTAATTGCTTATCTATGTCCAACTATTTCAACTGATTATTCAAACAAGATAAAATATAAGCCAGATTTAAGCTGTGATCCAGTTGGCTTACAGGTCGAAATAGCCACGTATAAGCCAGACACGATCATTGTTGGTTCCAATGTTGTTAGTGCGGAAACACTTCAAAAATGGCGAAGTATAATGGGCGATGAAGCGTTATTAAGTATTATTCGTCGTGGTTCAAGTATGTCTGATATCAAAACAGAAATGGCTGATAGTTTAAATATCAGTCATTATCGAACACCAAGTGTTAATGCGCCATTTGTTGCACAATACATAATTCAAAAGTTATGTTTTAGTGATGATAAGAGAGAAAATATATTATCGGCCGTTATTGGATATGGTGCAATCGGAAGGCGTATTATTCAACGACTAATTCGTGAAGGACACACGGTTAATGTTTATGGTCCATCGTTAGCCAATTGTTCTTCTCGAGCAGAGCAAGAAAATATTGCCAGATCCAAAGGACTATTATGTCATGAACGAATTCATTTTGCTACTTCACCCGAAGAAGCTGTTAAAAATGTTTATTACGTTGCTATTGCTATTGATGCCACAAGTGTGGTGGCATCGGGTAGGTATTTATCGAAAGAGTTTGTATTAAGCATGAGTCATGGTACACGAATTGTAAATGTATCAGAATTTCATGTCTTTACTGATGAAGCAATGTCCTGTTTTTTAAAACGTTCAAAACAGAGTGAATTATCAATATTATTTGATAGTCATTATCGTGATGTGAACCGTTTACTTGATCAAATTCCATCAGATAATAAAACTTTTGAAGTCTGTTCAAAAGCGATGGAAAATGTCGGTTGTCAAGCAGCCATGGATCAAGCTGCTCTTATCGTTTTGGCGCGTATTGCTGTTGAACAAACCATTCATACAAGGATGGATTTTCGACGGATGTGTGGGTCTTAGGAACATGTGATTATTGTCGGTGTCAATATAGTTGGACTTGTGTCAGCATTATTATTAAGCCAAAGAGGATATGCAGTGACTATTGTTGATTCACATGAAAAATCATTAGCAGGACGATCAGTCAGTAATGATTATAGACATGCCACTCTCATTGAGAATATTCCTCATGCAACCCCATCGAGACTGGATATATTAAATAAAGAGCCAAATGAAGGAGGATGGAAGATTTTGGATAAATTGACTGAATCCGAAAAAATGTGGAGAGATCAATTTTGTAGCCTAACTGCGTTCCCCGAATTACAAGAAATTATTACGGATTTTATCGTTACTCTGAATCGAAAAGGAATGCAAATGTGGGATAACATATTCGAATGTTTTCCACAGTTGGGCGAGAATGTTGTTGACACTCATAGAAGTAGACAAATAGTAACATTATATCCATCGGAAACATGTTTGACAAATCAATTTAATTTTCATTTACGATTGAGTGGAAATAATGGGACTATGATAAAATTAAGCAAACAAAATGTGTTAGAGGCATTTCCTAGTCTAGATTTGTCGAGCATTGTAGGTGGTATCCAAAGCGATGGTTATACTGTCAACTTTCTACAACTGACAAAAAATTTTCTTTGTTTTCTTGATTCGTCACATGTTCAATTTCGATGGTCAAACAGAATAAATAGAGTACATGATAATGTAGTTGTGTTGAATAACGGTGAAGAATTGGTGTCCAAAAAAATAATGGTTGTTGGCAACGATCAGGTTGTATTCAAAGACTGTCCTATTAAAGACCATGTTTACTCGATGATCAGATGTTCGTTGAAAGTACCAAATGTGTCAGGGGTTTCTCAAAGTTTTAAAATTCATGAACAGGATCCTGTAGGCATAATGGATGTGGCGCCTACTGCAGATAAGCAATATTTATTGATAACCGGTGGTATGGGATTTGTTGGTAAACAGGGCTTGCTTAGAAATCCAATGACCCAACAACTGGCCGATTTAGTGATTAAATCGGTAAGAAAATACTTGCCAAATGAATATGAAGCTATCAAAGTGGATGTACCTATAAAATACTATCTTTATCCAACGACTCCTGATGGTTTACATATAGTTGATATAAAAAACGATACGAGATTAACTATTGGAGGCGGTGAATTTTTAGAAGCTCCCGTCATCGCAATGATTGCTGTTGATAAGCTATTTGGTCCAAAAGATCCTATGCACATGTCAAGTGTTCTTTCAAGTACTAGAAGTAGTTTGTCACTGAAATTGTTTTATGACACAGAAAATAGATCAGTGGGTGGTAGCACTGATTCAGATACCAATACAGAAATATCCTCGAATCATCCAAAAATTTTGGGATTAAGCTGAAGAGTTTTCAAGTACATGTTTTTATACTAAATATATTATTTACCTTTACATATATAAACAGACAAGGGAGATTCTTGGGCTTTTGTTGTAAAATTCATCTATTTTATTTCTAGATAGAAGAATGCCAATTCAAAAATTTTTGTTTTCGTTTGTTTCGTATGGTGAGGTGGAGCGCATTGAGTTGCATACGAAAAAATTAATCTTTACAAATTGGTTTTCCTGTGAAAAAAACTAAAAATAGTATCAACAGGCAAACCGTATATCACATTTTTTGTCTGGTTCCATTCTAAAGCAATAATATTCTAGTTACCATGACTTTTTCGGTACCATTTAACATACCATCTCCATTTATAATTTTTCTTATCCCTTACATTACCACTATGATCGTCCGATTTCGTTATTATCGAACGTCAGTAAAATTTTCGAAATGGTTAGTCCAACAAGCACTTCTACGCCACTTAGAACAATCAAACTTTTTTTCTTGCGTACAATTCGGTTTCCGTCTCCAACCTAGCACCATTGATGCACTCCTCCATGTCACCACTGAGTTGAGTAAGCATCTTGAAAAAAGAAATAAGGTCATAGGGATGGTGTTTGATTTCTCAAAGTCTTTCACACAGGGTACCTCATCAGTTACTCCTCACAAAACTGTCCCTGGCAGGTGTCGATGGGCCACTCTACCAGCTCCTATCTCTGTGAACGTTAACAATAAACGATACAGTTCAGTACCTGCAGTCTCAGAAGTTCCCCAAGGAAGTATGTTAGGTCCCATTCTTTTCTCATTTTTATCAATGACCTCCCCAGCATTTTCCCCTCTTCAACAACTGTTTGTCTCTTTGCTGACGACGTTTTTCTTTTTGTCCCTGTGCACGGGGATGCGATCTCTGACTGGTGTGACAAAATGCTAGTAAAATTAAACGTCGCCAAGTGCGTTTTTATGTCCTTCTCAACAACTACACTGCCTTCTACTCTAGAAAGTTCGCTTTTTTTATTAGTACAGGCTCTGGTTAAAGAAAACAATATTAAATTGTTAGGAGTTTTTTTATCGTATAATCTAACATGGAAATTTCATATTTCCAATGTAGCCAAAAAGTGTGGACAGATGTTAGGCGCAATGCATCGTACATTTAACAGCGCACAATCCTCTCTACGTCTTCACATCTTTGAAACGTGCATAATACCAGTCATGGACTATTGTTCTGTTGTTTATGATACTACTGCAAAAATGCATTTACACCCACTAGTCTGTTTAAAGTTTTATTTTTTGCTCTTTATTTGTAACAATTCCTTCTTGTTTCTCTAGATCTTAACATAGGCGTTAGATTCATTTAAGTTTTATATTTTTTTGTAATATCCTAGACACATTCGTGTTAAAATAAACTGATTGACTGATTGATTACCATGGTAATAGAATTCTCTTGATAATTTGTCATATTCCCGCAGAAGGGAAACTGAAATACTTAAAATGTATATAATGTAGAGAACAAAGAATACATAATCATGTACTAGTCTGTAGAGTATATAACGTTTGACTATATTGTATACACTGAAGTAAAAGACGACAGTTCAGATGCAACCAATATTGAACCTGAAGATAAATTTAAAGGAAAGAATTTTGTAGTTTTTGTTAATTTTTTAAATCTTTCGATAAAAGAGATTATATGGGTACGGACTAAAATTTGATAGGTGTTTATTATCGTTATCACGAACTAAAATTTTTGTTACCATTTGCCACCTATTACTGCAAATTAAATAGTTGTTTTTACCATTACCATGATAATTACGTCAAATTTCCATTCAAAAGTTTGGAGATTAATAGAATAGTTTTGAATGTATAATTGTAAATTATAAGGTTTTATATTAAATTGATTTTGAGTTTTACTTTTTGTATAATGGATAAATGCAGAAGCTAAGATATTTAGTCATCTAATTTTGAGATAGCATGTGTAATAGAAAATATTATTTTAATATGATTGACTATTCTCACTGTTTTTTATTCTCGTCAGATGCGTCGTGCAACTGATGCTCCAAATTATCCTCGTGGACGTGCAACGTCATTGGCATTTCTTCGTATTCCTTTAATTTGTGCACTATTAGTAAAATGGTTATTGATGAGAGAAAATAGACCACGAGAAATCAACTGTATAAGAGTTTGATAATGAATATCCTCGAGGAAAAGACCTGGCTGATCGGATAACTTTTCAGTTTCTTTTCGTTTGTCTAAAGCGTCGCGCATGAATCTTACGCCTTGTACTTATGTCGCACGATTAATTTCTGCATCCAAGTGGTGAACAAAGAGCTGGCGTCATACTAAGGGAGACAATTTATCGGGCACAGTTGCTCAAATTTCTTACTCGGCTCTCAATCGGAAGAATATCTGCTGAAGAAGCTTTGCCGTATGACTCCCTTAAAATGAGAATTTTCTTCAAGAAGACTGAAACTGCTGAAAACTTTTTCCGGAAGAAATTCACGAAATCATGATGATTTTTTTCGCTATGGAGAGAAAAAGCTTTCGATGTAGCAGTGAAAGGTTAAGTAAGAATGCGATTTTTCTTCTTCTTCTTCTCTTTCTTCGTCCTATCTCTATACGATGGATAAGAAAACTGAGATCATATTTTTAATCTGTGCATTGTTCAATGAGCTTGTCAATTCGATGCAGAACAGTCATTTTCAAGTGGTCGTACAAGATCCAGCGAACCTAACTACTATTCATTTAAAAATATAAGGTCATCAGATGTTTTTCGAATAGCTATTGACGAAAAGCGATAAAGGGCTCCGGCTTTCACCATTCGGTAGCCTAGATCTGAATGCACCTTTGATGAAGCAGAAACATTTTGGAAAAGAATTTCAAAAATAACGCAGCAATCAGAATTACTAAGAGAGTAAGGCGTCGGAAATTCATGTGGCAACAAAAAGCTTCATATATTAAAATTTCATCGGCGTTTACCGTCAGACTTCCACTTTTTTGCAAAACCAACGTCATATTTAGAACAGCATCAAAAGCTGACTTGACTGATGTGTGTAAGTTTTTCAAGAAACTTTAATTTTTTTTCGCAAAAACCGTGGTCGGAAAGTTCGAAAAAAATCGAAGCTGTCCTCAAAACCTGAAACACATCAGTCAATTCAGCTTTTGATGCTGGTTCCAAATAGTTTATCTCAACTAGTTATATAGTACCTTTTAACAAAAGAACTAGACCTGAAACATGAAAATGTTTTAGTACACATTCGCAAAGAAACACTTCTTTCCTATAAACGTTATCTTAGTCAGATTGTTTTGAAATTGTTTCGAAAAAGTAGTCACATTCCTTACAGTTTCTGTCATTTTTTCCTTTTATGAGTGGAAAAGTCTGGGTAATTTAGGCAGGCCATTTTATATTGAACTAAATTAGATCGAAACGGGCAACCAGATGTGATCAGAATCAATATCTTTTACGCTGGCCCGAATCCGACCCGACTCATTTCGGTCTCTGATATATGTCGGTAGACCTCATTTTCCTGTGGCAGCTAAAGAGGATAAATCATTCAATATTCAACTGTTTTATCTACTACCATTTGCTATAAAAGTAAACGTTCACAATAAAAAATTAAAGACCAGTACCTTTTCTCGATATATACGTTTCATCAATGTTAGGTCTTCCGAGGACTAGAAATCTAAACGAGGGATGCTGGAAATTTTGATTGTTTTTCAAGTATAGTTATATGTAACTTTACGCTTCCTTGACAGCTTTCGTGGTGTGTACGGGTTTCGATTCTAGCAGTGTGGAGACATATCCCGATTGGGATATCATTTTTGCAGCAAAAT